TACAGGTGGGGATAAAGACAGTGAGTTGGGAAAAAATGTTGCTTTAATGACTGGGAAAGACTGGATTACATGACCTCTAAGATTTCTTTAAATTTAAAGACTCTAAAACTCTTAAATCATTTTAACTATATTCCTGGGAGAATTTTCCTATTTTAGGTGTAGAAAACTAGAACATTACCCTAAAGTAAATGGTGAAAGGGAAAAAGAATTCAGACATCCTGACCCTTTTAAACTTTTGATCCCACTGCCTCTTTTCAACTGGCAAAAATGAAAGATGGAGAAACAGAAGAGATAAGTGATCCTAAAACCAGACAGATAAAAATCCTTTAGAGCTGAACTAAAGTCCCAGGTCACCAACTTTAAAAACTCTGTACACCATCATTCCTGGTAAAAAGTATTTCAGAGTACTATAATCATGTAAGATGGAACCAAGACTGAACATGTATAGCCAATGTCCTCTTTGATGAGACTCTTGGAAGAAGAATCTTTGCCTCAATTATCCTATTTGTCTTTTAAATAAAGTTGGTTATCTGGTCTTTAAATTAATAGGTTTACTTTGCCATATGTGACAAAATCATACTGCTATTTCCATTCCCAAGGCCTCTGGGCCGCAAAGAATACTTCCCTTTTGGTGGACATTAGCTGGCAGGACAAATCCAGCCCTGCTTAAAGAGAGGTAAAGAACTAGTTACAGAAGGAAGAACCACTTTGTGATATAGATTTTATTGGTTAAATAGGCAGAGGAGAAATTGGATACTAGCAGGAAAAGAATGAATATCCTAGGCTGACCCAACATCTGCTACTGGTAGATTAGAAATCAGATACTGTGGAAAAGGTATCTCAGCCAGGAAAAATAGGAAGTTTCTCAGAATCAGTCAGTCAATCTAAGGGGTGGAAGAAAAGAATGGGGACAAAGAAGAAAATAGTTACACAAACTTTGGTCTTTGTCCTGGGGAAAGAATCTTTCCTTTGCCTAATCTTAGAAAGTGGAAGAACAGATGCTGGAGTCCAAGAATTGGCACAAAAATAAGTGCTAACTATAGCCTATAGTGCCCCATAACCTACCATTCCTCTGTGAGAACATCCCTGTTTGACCCCTGATAGGAAAGCAGAGGGAGGTGAGTGGTGACGCTGCCCCAGATTCAGTGCTCCAGGTGGAGAAGGCCTCAAGAAGGTGAAGGGATGAGCTAATCTGAGCTTCATGGCCCCATTTCCAAGGATGTGATTAGTGGAGAGACACCTGGGACCTGCTCCATTTCAGGAAACCCGGTTATGGGAACTGATGGGGGACAGACTTTGCTCAGGACCCGAGAGAAGCAGTTAACTCTTTCCTATTGTCTGTATAGGAAACAATTTCTTTTAATAGTTTATTCTTTCCCAGGGGAGAAACTCTTCAAGTGGACTTCATTTTCTACCAGCCTGGTAAGGGGGACTTAAGGGATAATTTCCACCTATGTTCCTAGGGTCAACCTCTTCAGGGCATTTGAATGCTCTGAGGAAGCCTGAGGACACGGTAGGACCTAAGAAGTTTCGAGGAAATGAGCTACACAGAGAGGACACATTTAAAAGGGAACAAGAGCTCGAAAGTCTCTAAAATGCCATTGTTTATCTGGCAGTGTTCCCTAGGATGTTGTGGTTCCTCTCAAACCCTGGGGTTTGGGTCAGAATCAACCCGGGGCTCTTCAGATGTCTCTTCTAGCCAGACAAGGAATTTCTTCTCAGAATGGACAGGATATCTGAAAAGGACATGAAACAGTAATTGAAATCCTGAGGTAAATAAAGGAATGAAAACAGTGCCAATATGTTACCAAATCTACAGACTGGGGCAAAGTGGCCCCCTGAAAATTGCCAATAGGACCCTGAAGACCAGGGCTGAAAATATCCAGAGCCATATACAGAGGCTCCTTGGTTCATCTGACTGACTGAGGTGACCATGGGCCGGCCATTTAATTTCTTGGGCCCTCACATGTCTATTGAGGATAACTGATAACCTTTCACTCTGACTCTGAGAATGGGGCCTGAATAAAAAACGTTTTAATAATGTGGAGTCCAATAACATATTATTACTAGACTCCAAATAGGATAGGAGAACATATCTATGGGTGAGAGGAGGATTGGGAACCACGGTTCATTCAAGTTTTAGTGTGTGGAAGGTGAGGGTATCTGAAATCATTGGCTCCTTGGCTTTCATTATTATTATTCATGAGAGAGTGTGTGCATGTGTGTGTGAGAGGGGGGCACACCTGTGATGCATGATCACACCACAATCCCCTTCCCACAGCCCTCCAGTTTGGCAAGATCTTGGGCATATGTGTACCTGGTTAGTCTTCAGATTGACTGAGGAGCTGAACCCATGGTCAGTCATGTGGCTTCCAGTACTACAGGTCAGAACACTACCAACTGGGCCACTGAGCAAGGGCCCTCCTTGACTTTGGCAAAGAGGGTTGGCATCTCATGCTAATGTTAGTGTTTCCATACTACAGAACAGTTGAGCAACTAGGCAGGTCACATCCAGGTGAGAGATGCAGTGGGTAGCTGTGAGGGAGTGGAAAGTGGGGTTAAGAGAGTTGTTTCAGATTTTGGCTCTCACATTTACAGACTGAATGTCATGGAACCTCTTCTTGGATCCTTGTTTTCATCATTTATAAAATGAGGATAACACCTCCCTCGAGAGGGAAGATTACTCGAGAGGGAAGATTACTTAAGATAAATTAAAAAAAAGTAAAGAATGCTTAGCATAAAACATAAAAATCAATAAAAAAATTTAAAATAAAAGAATGCTTAGCATAGAGTCAATGCTCACCAAACAACAAGTCTGCATCAAATCCTGCCAGACTGAAAAGATTTGTTATGGAAATTCTGAAGGCAGGTTCTAACATCGAAAGCTTCCTTCTTTACTTCTGCCTATACCTGGTAGGTAGGGCACCTGTGTTCCTGGCTACCTCTGTTGGGCCTCCCTGCCTCCAGGATGCTGTTGAGTGTATCACTGCACTTTCATCCCTGAGATGCTCCAAGGACAAGGGCTGGAAGACAGGATGACCAACTCACCTGAACTTCTTTGCCACTGGCAAGTGTTCCTCCACCCTTCATTCCCTATGCCATTCTCAAGGTGGGACATTTTCTGCTGAGTCAACATTCTCACAGAAAATATCTTAAAGAACCATCCTCAGTACTTTGGTTTCTCACACATCAGTGAAGACAATTCTCTTACAAGATGTATATGAGAGTGAGAACACTTCATGCAGGACCGGCAGTTGGTGTAATGGCTATGTCGCTGGATTCCCATGTAGTTGACTGCGGTTCAAGTCCTGGACCTGGTGGCTTAAACTCACACTGGGTGCATATGTGTGCGTGCCCAAGATTCCGAGAAGGGATTGCGGCGTGACCATTTCCCCTGGGGGGTGATTTCTCGCTTTCTGTCTGTCTCTCTCTGCCTCTCGGGCAGGTGCACATGCCCTATAGCAAAAAACCTCTCCAAAACCAAAACCAAACCAAACCAAAAAACACAAACAAACAAAAACTTCATGCAAAGAGCCAGTGGTGTATGACAAAAACAGACATTCAATAATGTTAGTTCTTTGCCCTTTGGCCACTCCTCTCCCTAAACGGGGGTTGGGGAGAGAGAGGAAGGGAGAGACTAGTCATTTGCCAAATGCCAGCTCTCTTACCAAATGTGACTGTTGTGATAAATTTTCCAGAAATAAAAGCTGCCTTTCTCCAAGAGGTCTACCTGTGAGCAGCTGAGGAGAGGAGGGACAACAGCGTTCAGCAGACTCAAGAAGGGTATGAATCAGTGCTCAACAGACATGTTTTTTGGAGTAGCACCAAGGTTGTCCACTGGGCAGGCACTCTGCCAGCTCCCCAGTTTGTTCTGCCCAATTCTGGCTTCTTAGAGCTGGGTGGAAGAATTTTCCCTGAAGGAAAGCAGCCAACACCCTGTCCCACCCTTCTCCTTGGGCAATTGTCAGGTAGGAATCTCTCTCACCAGACTTTTTTTTTTTGGCTGCCCAATGAACCAGTTACCAGAACATCAGTGGTTATAGTTTCAAGCCCCTCTCAGCAAGCCTTTCCTGGTACCTGCAGATTTCTGCTGGAGTCTATAGAAAAACCTTCCTTTCTTCCTGGAAAACTCCAGCGTTTCTGTCAGCTGGAGCCTAGGCAAGACAGCTCTTGCAGTTGGCACATTTAGTGCCAAGTCAGAAGGAGGTGAGGGGCCTTGATGGGGTGAGAAAGGCTTCAGGCCCCGCCTAGGGGCTGGGGGTCTGAGTCCCCTGGAATAGGCTGGAGAGATTTCTGGAACGGGTTACCAGACAAAATACAGTTTTGAATTTCAGGCTAATGAATGATTTTTTAGTTTGTGTCCCAAATATTGTCTGAGATATACATATTTAAAAATATTGTTATCTAAAACTCAATTTCAACTGGCAGAACTGTATTTTTTCTGCGAAATCTTGGAGCCTAAGGTTGGCTGGCTAGAGCACTGGGGGCAGCCACTGAAGAAAGGGGAGTCAGGGTCAAAAACCACTTCGGGAATCCCGCACCAGGCACCAGTGGCTTCTTCCAGCTGAAGGAAGGATCCTGGAAGGCACTGAAGACGCTTTGAAAAGCTCAGTGCCACATCTCGGCGAGACTGTGGGAAAGTCTCTTCATGAGGAGCCGCGGCTTGGCC